AGAATGAGGAAGAGTGGTGAATGCCTGAGACTTGCATTGAAGGGAAGATGGCCAATGAGGGCTTGCACCAAGAAAGGAAGGAAGAGGCTCGGGCTCGGGCTCGGGCTCGAGCGACTCAGTGGGCGAGGAAGTTACACCTGGCGATGGATGAAGCAGCCACCGGTGGTATTAGAGTATGGATCACATGCAGTGCAGCGTTAGATACTTAGAACAGTATTCCAATGCATCCACCAAACGCCCCTCAAATCCCCTATTCTGCGAAAGTCGCGTGAAATACAACGTTTTCCTGCTCGCCTCACATCTGCGGACCTCACAAAACTTCCACCTTTCACCTCCTGCTCCTTGCCGATCAAAACACTGGCTCGCCAAACTAGACGTTGAAAATATTCTGAGCACAGCCGATTTTTGTACAAGGGGCAGGGCCATTTTGACGGACGGGTGTGCTTGTCTTCTAGATTCCAGCTATCGTCTGTCTGCTCTGATATTGATCACTGCCTGCGTGTACTTCATCTACAAACAAAGTCAAGCAGTGTGTACAGCCATAGTATAGCTTCAAGCATATCAACAGAAAACTCAAGAAGACAATCACCACACAGAAATGGACTAGAAACTATGCATTTCAGAAGGAAAACGCACGCCTTCTGATGAACATCAGGCAGTGGAATGTGCATCCATCTATCCCCCCACGTCCCACCATCGCTAACTACCACAAGAGAACGGTATCAAATCCCACCCGAAGATCGTGACACAAAGTACAAAGGAGAGGTGCAAAGAAGTCGATGCTGCTATGCTACTGTGTATCGCAAGCGAGCTAGCCAGCCAGTCGTCTAGAAGAAACATTCAAAGGCTTAATAATGGACAAGAGAGAAACAAGGAAATCCCAAAAACCCAAATCCGTACATCTCACGTTTAGAACAGCGCAAGGCCGGCAACGACACCGGCAACAAGGCCGAAGGCCATGTTGACGCTGCCCTTGGTGGCGGCACCCTCGTAGCGGGCACCGGCCGGCGAGGGCGAGGGCGTGGCGCTGGCGGTGGCGAAGACGCGCGAAGCCGTAGCAGCGTCAACAATGGGGACGCCGCTGGCGCTGGGAGCAGGGCTGTGGAAGTGGACGACCGAACCGTTGCTGGGCTTGTAGAACGAGGTACCGTTCAGGGGCGCCGGGCTGGGGATGGCCTTCATGATGATGGTGGAGAGCTGGACATCAGGAGTTCCGGCCGGGCCCTTGGGAGTGTGGACGGGGCCGTTCCAGGCGGGCGTGCTGGTGACGCCGGCGACGGAGCTGACGGCCGAGGGAGTCCAGTTGTCAATCTTGACGGCGCCAGAGTTTGAGGCCGAGGCCGTGCAGCTGCAGCTCGTCACAGTCTCGAGCTCAGTGGTGTACTGAGTGACCATGGGCTTGGATGCGGCAGGAGTAGTGGCAGGCTCGCTCACAGCGGACTCGGGAACGTCAACAGAAGCAGAAGGAGCCGGAGTGTACGAAGGAACGTCAACCGAAGCCGCGGGAGTGCTGGTAATGCCGCCGACCGAAGACTTCTCAGTAGCAGGGCTCGAGGGAGCGGGAGTGTACGACGGAACGTCAACGGAGACAGTAGGAGATTGCTTCTCGGCGCTGGTAGCAGGCGTCTCAGCAGGAACATCGACGGAAGCCGAGGGAATAGACTTCTCCGAAGCGGGAGCCGAAGGAGCAGGGGTGTAAGAAGGAACGTCGACCGAGACGGAGGGAGTCTGGGTCTCAGCGCTCGTGGCGGGCGTGTAAGAGGGCACATCGACCGAAGCAGAGGGCGAGGACTTCTCAGAGGCAGGGGCCGAGGGAGCAGGGGTGTAAGAAGGAACGTCGACCGAGACGGAGGGAGTTTGGCTGGCCTCGCTGGTAGCGGGGGTGTAAGAGGGCACATCGACCGAAGCAGAGGGCGAGGACTTCTCAGAGGCAGGGGCCGAGGGAGCAGGGGTGTAAGAAGGAACGTCGACCGAGACGGAGGGAGTCTGGGTCTCAGCGCTCGTGGCGGGCGTGTAAGAGGGCACATCGACCGAAGCAGAGGGCGAGGACTTCTCAGAGGCAGGGGCCGAGGGAGCAGGGGTGTAAGAAGGAACGTCGACCGAGACGGAGGGAGTTTGGCTGGCCTCGCTGGTAGCGGGGGTGTAAGAGGGCACATCGACCGAAGCAGAGGGCGAGGACTTCTCAGAGGCAGGGGCCGAGGGAGCAGGGGTGTAAGAAGGAACGTCGACCGAGACGGAGGGAGTCTGGCTGGCCTCGCTGGTAGCGGGGGTGTACGAAGGCACATCAACCGACGCGGACGAGGAAGCCTCCTCAATGGGGCACACGGTGGTGCTCACATCAATGGTCTCGGTGACGGTGTGCTCCTGAGTTCCGCTGGTCGAGGTGCGAACGCGGGTGGAACGGACAGTCGAGGTGGTGTAGGCAGAAGGAGCAGGAGTAGTAAGTCCACCAACTTCCGAAGGAGTGGTAGAAATTGGCGTGGAAGAAGCCGGAGTCGACGGAACTTCGCTAGCGGGGCAAATGGTCGTGCTGATGTCAATCGTCTCAGTGACGGTGTGCTCGTGGCCATCGCTTGTCGTGGTGCGGAGGCGGGTCGATTGGATCGTCGAAGTGGTCATGGGGATTGAAGGGTCGACGGATCCAGCGTCCGTGATGGCGGGAGCCGCAGACGGGCTGGTGACAGTCCAGGCCGTGGAGAAGGCAGAGGACAATACCGAGCCTTCAGCAGTAGCCGAGCAAGATTCCTGGGCGCTCTCGATACAAGAGCACGACTCGTCCCAGGTAGAGCTGAAAAGATCCAGGTCGAGATCGACACAAACGTTGAGGGGAACAAGGTCGACGCAGGCGTTGACCTTGGCCTCGAGGATAACCTTGTTCTTGCAACGGCACTCGGGAGTGTCGTTGACACAGACGTCGGCCAGGGCGCTAATGAAGCACTTGTCGCGGCATCCGCCAGGGTTCGGAGGAGCGACACAAGATTTGCCGCAGGTAGTGATGCTCGAAGTTGCGAGCGAAGTGGCGGTGGTCGTGGGAGTACCGCCCAAATTGATGCCAGCCGTGGCGGCGACACCACTGGCCAAACCAACGCCAGCAGTTGCTGCGGCGTTGAGGCCAAGGAGGTCGGCATTGACGCCCAGGTCGAGAAGGTTGGCCGAGGCGCCAGAGGCGAGCACGGCGGCCGCAAAAGCCTTACGGTAAGCCATTGCGTATGTTTTTTTTTGGGGGATTAAGGATTAACGAGTGTGAAAATTAATCGACGAGCAGACCCGATCCTTTCAAAAGAGTGAAGAAGGTCGGAAAAAAAAGAACTGGGAAACGCTCGTCTGGAGTGAGTTGGGTGAAGAAGAGAGAAAGACGACAAGGAGAGTCAGGCCTCTATATAGACCCGGCGACGACGAACAGACAAGAGATGATCATACTCATAGCAGCCGGGGACCGACAAATCAAGACCGAGTGGCAACGACATTCTGGTCTCATCATGGGAAGTGGACAAGCGGATGCCGGTCGCTCCCTGTTCCTGGGCATTGTGGGAGCTGGATCCCCGTAATGGAGCTTCTAGATGGCGGAGCGGGGGCACGAGGGGGCCGCTGCATATCGGCGAGCAGCCCTATCAGGATCAGGGGATGGTATTGGGTCCTGAGGTCGTGGGGAGAGAATCCAGGAACGACGTGACGTTGGAGTTTGTCGGCACCGCAGACGTGGACGGCAGTCTCGGGCCGGAGCATGGTTGGCCCGTGCCGACAAATGAACGTCCTCTTTTTGGCAAAGGAGCCGTCTCCCCTTTTCCTCCACCGTCCAAGAAATTACTTCAAATCGACTCTGCTCCGACCACTCGAGTAATCACGATCTTCGCCTCGTCTCCTTTTCCTCGCCAGAGCCTGAGCCGTCAAATGATCCCGAGCCCTGAATAACCCGAGGCTCACCATGGCCGGACACGCGCCTTGAACCGCTTCACGAACGACTGCTTCTTGAATTTTTGGTGCGTATACGATGACCGATGAACAAAGATCACCAGATCGATTCCAGGGTCTCAGTATCTTTCCTTTGAAAAGCATTGCATCTCGAACCTTGAGCCTCAGCGCCAACCAGACCAAGTCGACTCCGTGCTCACGAGCTTTGGAGCGACACGATTCAAAATCCGGTGAGAGGGCACATCTCCGGCCCAGCAAAAATAGGTCGAAGCGGGGGATCGGGAGCCTGGTCTTTCATTGGCGTCTGTTCTTTGCCGCCCCAGACAATTTGACAAGTCAACCTCTCCTCAAGCAAGCGCGCGACTGTCGACATTTCGCCAGAGTGGTGTATCAATTTCGACTTGTGTTCTATTGTTCTTCATCTCGGAGCAGGCGCTCCAGCGACGACTCGCCATTTTTCATACTGTCAGTCTACGCCACAACACGTTCGCTCTCGAATACGACCTCAACAATGCCCCGGGCCCGAACAAGCGTCGGACACACGCTGCATGTCTCAGTCGCAACGCATTTCCACAACTCACTGCCGAGTCCTGCTTGGCTAGACAGGTCCAGCCCGACTTTGTCCTTCTCTCGATGCGGCAAAGTCTGGGCAACGATTGCGCAGAATCTGATTGAAAGCACAGCCGCAACAAGGACGAGTTTGATCTCAGATTGCTGGCGCGGACCAATTTCCGCATGGCTAGTTGACGCTGGTTGACGCTCGAGCCCACGGGGAGATGTTGACTGACGCCTCCTTCTTCCTGTGGTCATAGTTCACCGCATATTCTCGCTCATTCTGGACTGAAGGTCGCCCTTGATCCTGATTGCGGTCTTGAGGTTGCTCTGTTCGGCAACCGCTGCCTCTCACCGACCGCCGTCACTCACGGCGACTTCGATACTCGCCGACTTCTCACTTCCCCTTCCTCCCTCTGAAGTACTTTGTAGTATATTGCGCTGCACCATCATCGAGCAATCTTTGGTTTCATCGGTACGAAAAAAATCCTCCTTCTGTCCAAGCTCAAAAAAATAAAAAAAATAAAAAAATGCTACTCCATCGCCGAGAGTTGAACTCGGGTTTCCAGACAGGCAAGCCCGCACCACGCAACTCACCCGAGCTCAACAAGGCTGCGTCAACAGACACTCCTGTACTTCAGGGTGGCACTACCACTGCGCCACGATGGACTCTGATTGCAAAGCGAGTCTCTGCTGGTGGGGCATACAACTGACTGCTCTCGTTTGGCCCCTTGGAGCTGCTGATTGCGATATCTGGGGCTAGGAACCGACGGGACACGGCTGAATCCCTGCCTGTGGCGCAGTGCCTACATATTACCAATGGCTACTGCTTTAAAGGTACATTGGTGAGGACAGAACACGGGCCACCTGAGCGATCGGAACTCGGTGTAAAATGTGGCGGCAAATGCTGAGGTGCAGTCTACACGGTAGGTAGGTAGGTGAAGATTTTCTCTGTCGGTTCTCCGTTCCTCTAATTTCCCTGTTTCCAGCTTTTAGGCCTTTTTTTTTTTTTTTTTTTTTCCTTTTCTTTTATTGAGCTGAATAGTTGCTTTGTTGTAACCCGCCGTCTTTTTCTAGACCCTCTGAGTATGTGAGTTGCCAAAAAGAGGAAAATTCAGGATGCCCTTTGCCATTGAACGTCTGAAGTCTCCATTCGGAAGCCCGCTCGAGACCACTTCCAGTACGTCCAACCAGAAATCCATCCAGAGGCTCAGCTGAATCACCATGTGCCCGATCGTGGATCCGCTTTGGACTCTTAACTGGACTCCCAAGTCGGACAGCAAGCAATCCAATTCGAAACTCCCGTCTCGTTCAGAAATTGCCATTTCACATCATCATCCAGCGCGGTGGACTCAGTTTCACCCAATCCCTTGCGTACGGAGATGGGTGCAGCGAAGGCGCGAATGAAGACCCAGGACCGCGTGCGGGCAGACGTTGAATTCATATCATTGGGTCGCCTAGACGTCCAATTTTGCCCGTTTTGGGACAAGTAGGGAGCGTGGACCGTGCGTTCCTTGGCTCGAATTCATTGGTCTAGACGTTTGATGGTGGATTGCCGGCCAACACACTTCCTCTTTGGGACAGCAGTCTGCCTAGAGGGGGAATAATGGTTTGCGGCGTGGACGCATAGGTTGGTAGGTAGTCGGATGCGGCCTCCTGCCTAGACGCCGCCGCGGCCCGCTTCGGACACTTCCTATAATCGCATGCTCATCATTGCAAAAATCCTCCTGTCGGAGCGCAAGCGCGCGTCTGGTCTGATCGCACTGTCCGCGACTCAGACTTCTCCTCCTGCTTGCCATGTTGGATGCAGTGTCGGAGCTTGCTTGCTGGCTTGACTGCTTGCTTGACTGCAGTGTATGTACTGTAGCTCCAGTCATCTCGCCTTTGAACCTTCGATCGCTATGTCTTTCCAATGAAATCGCGTCGGCCGTTCATCCGTCCATTCGTACCGGCGGCCAGTGCAGCGCGTGAATCGTGTGGCTGGCTGCCTCCTGACTTTGGCACCGTCTGCCGTCTCACACGAACGTCGCCAGCTATGGGTAGGTAGGTAGGTACATGTAGGCTCACATCTAGCGCCGGTCCGCTCGGAGAGAAGACGTCGATATTCATGATGATGTGTTTTGGAGTTTGCGGTAGGTATCTACTGCTGCTTTTGGCCGGCTGGCTCTGTCTGTCTCAGTAAACACGCTCTCAAGCAATCAGGCAAATGTTTGGGAAGTGAGGCAAGTTTGCATTGTCCGAACTGTACACGCACTCGATCATTCGATTAGCTGAGCAATCAATGGTAGTCCAGAGGAGTGGAGAGAGACGTTGGGTGATTGAGTGGTACATACATACTACCTTATCTGAGTGTGAGGTCGTCGGGCCTGCTGCGGTTGCGGGGGCCAAGTGGGCAGGACCCGCCAGGATCTGTCTTTCTGTCTATCTGTCTATCTATCTATCTGTCTGTCATTCTGTCACTCAATAAGTATAGCATCGCAGATTAACCTTTTATTCCTAGAGCTAGATGTTTAGCTAGTAGGTTAGATACCTAGGCAGCTAGGAGCTGAAAAACCCGGGGACCTATTCTGGGACTGCTTGGACCGGACGGGATGGATGGATGGTGGTGGGATGGTGTGCGTAGCTGGTAGGTAGGTAGGTAAGGTAGCCAGACTGGCAGGTATGGTCATGGTCGTGGTCGGAGGTGGGTGGGTAGGTAGTGCCGATTACACCAAGGGTTTTGATCGCCGCCGTCGTCACAACGAGGCGAGAAGTACGCGACAGCGATTGGCGCAATCGATCAGGCGCTGTTTACCAGACGATAATCGACATTGGCCGGCTAGCCTGCCTAGCAAGCCTTGGTTGGTGTTGGTTGGGATCGACGCGGTTGCAGTAGTGAGTGAGAGGCGACGGCGACGGCGACGGCGTCGAGCGCCGTGGTTTCGAAGCGCGAGACTTGAGCGAGAGGGGTGTGTGGTGTGGTGATGGAACGGATGGCTGCCGGTCGGTTTCATTCGCTTGTCGGTAAAGACGCTATTGTATTCATGAGGTGGTCGAGATTGCAGAGCAGCCAGCTTGATTCTCAGTCGGCCATTGGCTGACGAGCAACGTTTGTTGTCGCGATTTGCTGCCTATCAGAAACCAACCGCGTGTGTGTCGTGAGATGCGGAGACTAGGTACCTAGATGGCGAGGTCATCCTTGGAGCAAGCTGTCGTAGGTTACTGCCAACAATAACATCATCACATTATGCGTTTGGAACTTTGCCACAGACGGGCAAGACCAGGACTGAAAGGGTGTTTGCCAGGTAGAGGCATGTTGTTGATAGGCAGGCACCGCTCATTCACACCCCTTGGCGAAAGATCGGCAGTCTTTGCGCAAATAGACACACACACACACACACACACACACACACACCTCATACGATGGAGGAGATGAGATCAAGTCGCGCAAACGCCGTTTTTTTTTTTTTTTTTTTTCTCTCGCGTGGCCACCAGCATAGGTCGTATTTGGAGATTCCGCACCATATCGGCGACGAGCGGGCAGCAGGGCAATGTCGTGAAATGTCTCGCACGGCCCCCATCCCATGGCCCATTTTGGGAATGTTGCACTGTAAAAGTCAGACTGGTGTGGTGTGGTGTGGTGGTTTCACGCGACCGGAACTGGCCAAACACGCTGATCAGGGGACGTTTGTCGCACGAGAGAGCCGACGCAGCAGCAGCAGCAGCGACAACAAGGCGTAAGAGAGAGAAAGAAGCGGTTTGCAGATGGTGGCAGAAGCTTGGTAAGAAAGACGTGGCTGGGTTGAGGGGGAAAGAAGTAGAGGAGGAGGCATCGGGTTGGAACGCTGGTGGTGCTTTTTCGCCGCGGTCGTAGATTTGCGACACGCTCGTACACGGAAACCTGCCGAGGTCGTGAGGCTTGTACCAGGGCTTGGCCGGACCGTGTTTTTTTTTATAATTTGGGTGTGGAATAGAATTGGACTCGGCAGCATCCACGTGGAGGGCGTCGAGTGTCTTGGTCGAAGTAAAAAGTCGTGAGAGGCAGGGAAAAGGGAACTACATGCATGGAATTAGCGGGACGGTCCATAGATGACGCACTCAACCTTGGGTTGCTTTTTTTTTTTTTTTTTTTTTTTTTTTTCCATCTGGCATCGTGCTGCGACACAAGATTGCGGGTCGTCGAGCGTTGAGGGGAGGTGAGGCGTCTCATTCATTGGAAAAGCAACGACTGGACCGGTGTTTGATCGAATGGGATGCAGGAAATTGGGCAGCTTTTTTGCGTCAAGGATCGATCCATGAAGATGGAGTTGAGTGGTCGGCCGGACCGTCCCAGGCGATCCGCCGCCACATCTTTTGTCTCCTCCACGACGACAACGACAACAACGACAACACCCATCGACATCCTCGTCAACCCGTCGACTAGCCCGCTCTCGCACAGCCCCATCCCCGTCGCGGCCCACGGCTGCGTCGCCTCCTTGCCTTAGATACTCGCCGTCGACAGCTGACCCGTGGCGAGCATGCAAAAGCAACGCGACGCAGAGGGCATCCCGGTTGCTGGAGCCGGCAGTGGCATCCATATGGCATGCATTCCACGCCGCGCCCCCTTCCTTGTTCCCTGAGGTCTGCTCTGCTGAAAATAATCCCCGACCATCCATCCATCCGTCCATCCTTCGTGCCGCTGCTGTTCAAACCACTGATGTTATAGGGCGGCAACATGGGCTACATCCGATTCTCTTCCTTTGCTACACGTGGACTAGGCCCAGTTCCGCTCGCTGTCTGTTCCTGTACCACTCGCTGATCCCGCGTCTGTAACCCACGCCTCGAGAGCACAGGACTTGCTCATCTGCTTGTACAACCAACCACCCTATGCAGCCGCTGCCGCCAATCTGGCCAAGGCCAACGGTCGCCGTGCCAGCTCTTTCTCTCAAAAATCCTTCAACTCTCCTTCGTCGTCATTATCCACCCTCAGCCTCTACCACCTCCCAGCACATGTCCCTTACGTTGCCAGGCCCTCAGCATGCCTGGCGGCCTACACCCCCCGCTTGAGCTCTACCATGCCTGGCAGACGGATCAGTTTCCTCACGGCGAGCGCAGGGACTGGTCCATTGTCATCATCGTCACCCTGTTTGGCGTCCTCGCCTATGCCACGGTAGCCGCGCGATTATGGGCCCGAGTCATGGTCAATCGGAACTCTGGCCTTGACGATGCCCTCATTGTAGTAGCTCTGGTTTGTCGACTCGAGCATCGCTGGTCGCCTGTGCTAATTTGCCCAGATATTTACCTCTGGACTTGCAATATCTGTAATGCTAGGTCAGTGGCTTGTTCATCCCTTCTCGAACACACTGACATCCTCTAGGCAGCCGACTGTATGGATTTGACCGACATATTTGGGACCTCACGCCAACATTGGGTGTTCAGTCACGAGAGGCACGTCTGGCGTCGAGATGCGCGATTACAACTAACAAATGGCAGATCACAATGGCCATCGAAGCCACATATATCATCGCAACCGGCATCACCAAAATTTCCATCCTCTGTTTCTACCGGCGCATCGCTTCTGGCACCGTCGCCAACTGGTTCCTGTACACCACCTGGACCAGCATCGCCTTTGTCATCGCCTACATGATTGCGTTCCTCGGAACCCTCTTTTTTGGCTGCAGCCCCATCAGCGCCTTTTGGAACCAAGTCGA